GGGGTGGGGCAGCAATTATGACTTGCCCGCCCATCGTACCTACTTTGACCCGAGATGCCCTGCAAGTAACCCAAAGACGGGATTATGTGACCGTTTTTCTCGCCTTGAACAAAAGATTCTAAAAGAATTTCAGTTAGTTAAACACACGTTTTTATTCAATACTCATGTGATCGCACACATCATGGGCTCTTACGACCACAGGCCCAACAGCCCAAGGGTCTACACACCAGTTCATGACAAGCATGCCTGCTGCTCTTTCCCTGTTCCTTCGACTCAGTGTTGGTCACAGAATAGTTAAGGAACGGCATGAAAATTTGGTGGCGCACCGGCATTGTAAAATCAAGTATTTACGTTTAACATGCATTTATTCAATATAACATTCAACGAGAATACAAAAAGACCAATAAGATTTAAACTAAATCCATTGAGAACTCACAAGCACCTGATGGAGACTTACGGGTGTGTCTGAACAATCAGTGGAGGGGTATTTTATCAACGCTGCCAAAATAGATAGAATTATAGATAAATAAAAAATGAATAAATAGATGAATAATAGATAAAGCAATATATATATATATATATATATATATATATATATATATATATATATATACATATATAATACACGTGTTTATGTATGTATCCATATACGCATAGATTTGAGTGTACATATATACATACACACACACACACACACACCACACACACACACACACACACACACACATATATATATATTATATTATATATATATATATATATATATATATATATATGATATATAAATGTGTGTGTGCATGTGGAAATGAGACGTCTCCGTTTAGAACACCCGTGAACACCAAACTGATGACCTGGAAGTCGAAACCTGTCATTTGCAATGTAGAGGCGATGCTGATTACAGCACAACTCTTTGGGGTGAAAATGCGCTTTGTCCTTTTGTCTCGCCAATTGGACTGTTTTAGTAGCCTTAGTTTTCCATTATATTGGACCCTTGTAGTATTGACTTTAACTGATATCGTTGCTGCTCCTATTATATCATTAACTATTATCACTTCAATTATCATTATTATGCCACTTGAAGAGAAACAGTTTATAACAAGTCTAGGATGAGACAAAAAACAATTAGTACAGTAGACAGGTAAAAAAAAAAAAAAAAAATCTGCAGCATATTTCTAGGGCCACATGTTTATTAGAAATATACAGGAGACAGCCCCAAAATATGTTCCATACGATTTAAATACCAGAACCAACAAAAATATTTTGTTCGTATATATATTTTTTCCCTTTCTTTTCATTTGATTTTTTTGTAAGTGATTTAATTGAGATGTTCTGAATTCTACTGTAAGTTTGCCATTCTAAAATAACATTTACCATTAATAATGATGTTGACATTACCTTTTTTATATGAATCTATCTATATATCTATATATCTATACTCGCCATTTATCTAATTATTTATTCATTTGTTTATCTGTTCATTTAGCTTGATAAGTTAGTCTATGAAAATAACTGTAAACATTAGGATCTTACTGCGATTTAACGATTTTTTTTTCGAATTGCGTCTGATGTCTTTTAGTGAGACATTTTTGAGGGTTTTACCGTACCTACTGACCTAGTTTATCTGCACTGGGTAGATCTATTATTGAGTGAGGGTTAAATTCAGACAGTTCGGAAAATTAGATAAGGTTTATTAACTTATGCGAGATAAATTACTGACTAGAATTTCATCTGGGATAAACACAGTGAGAACACAATCGACTCCTGACATGTCAGTCGACGCGGTGCGAGGGCGCTGCGCAGCGCATGTCCTCGTGCGCCGACATGAGGGCCATGAGTTGGTGCCTGGAAGGAGGCTGTTGAGCCGTGTATTTGCACACAAGGCCGTTCTCGCACGGACAAAGCTGGTTCATGGAGTAGTCGAGGCCGCCCTCAGGGACGTAGCACTTGTGGCCCAACGGCACACGCCGCTGACACACCTGCTCTCCATGGCGACGGGCGCAGCACATCCCTGCTCCACAATCCCGCTCCTTGCGGCACCTGGCGCCCTCACGCCCACGCTTGATGCGCTTTTGGCACACGCCGAACATGCAGCGTATCCGCCCTCACACATGGCGTCCCGACGACACTCGTGTCCCTTCGTCACGTGGTCCCGACACACGCCGTAGTGCTGGTCGCAGAACTGGCCGCGCCCACACACGCGATCGTTGGTGCACAGACGCTGCAAAACAAAGGATATCATTAGATCTGGTAACATCTTTCACTGGTACATAACCTTTTACATATATGGTTTCTTATATACGAAAGGAATTGATATAGAAAGTTGTACTTACCAAGTGTTTGTAGAAGTCGAAGGGTTGATCTGTCGTCAGTTGATGGGAGTTGTGACGGCCGCCACTGATGTCGCGGATGTTATGGCGACCTGCTTTATGGAGGCGTCTGAAGAGCCAGGAAAGTCCTTGTGCCATGCAGGGGGTCACCAGGCACCCCACCGTCAGGAGAAGAGACACAAGTTCATGGTTTCTTATCAAGGAAGAGAGTGTGCACTTGAGAGTGAGTTGAGTGTGCGTCACCTGTCCGGCTAGTACTGACCTAATCACAGTCTCTGGTCTTATATATATGAGAGGACTGATCACGTGACGACGCCTAGCACCTGATCCACCTGTTACAGACGTTACGGGAAAAAAAACATAATAGAAGATTTACGGAGGTCAACTTAGGTCAAAGTAGGTACGATGGGCGGGCAAGTCATAATCACTTGCCCGCCCCCTGGACACATGATCCTCTCACCTGTCCTGATTCCCCGTTCCTGTCCGCTGTGGATCCGAAAGAAACTAAGGGTAATGGATACAAGGAAGTGTACTATTTTTGCTGAAACGCACCACAGAAAATATCGCATTTAAACAAATTAACAAATATCTTAATTCATGAATCAACATAATCTCACTGATCTCACCGAAACATGATATTTGAATGATACCAAATTCTCATTCAGATAACATAAATATAGCTATTATACATAAACAACTATTTTCCTTTAACTGAAGATTAATTTTTCGATAAGCAGATAAAATTGTATGATGAAATGAATATCTCAGATTCACGACCTGATGTCAATTTTGTATACGTTTTAGACTTAATAAATGTCCCTTTAGATCAAAGTGCATAAAGTCACGTGCTGATTTCAATCACTTTCTAAGACAAGCCTGAAAATAGAGCAAGGAGATATGATAAATTATAAGAGTGCATGGTACCTCTGCTTACACATGCCATTTCCTGACCCCGTGCTGAAGTGGCATGTCAGTGTTCATCTAAGCAGGTAATCTCTCTATGGTAACTATTTAACTATTCTACATTCGTATGCCTGGTGTGCATGATAAAAACTATATGTATGCCTGACAGTTTTATTCATGGGATAATTTGGAGGTCATGATATCCTAAATGAATGAATGTACACGGAATCATTCAAACGGTAGCACGCTTCATACAAACAAG